ATGTCTTCTGTATTACTTATTTCCTTTTGTGCTGCTATAACAGAATATTTGAGGTTGAGTAATTTATAACAAACACAATTTTACTGGCTGACATTTCAGAAGGCTAGGAAATCCAAGAATGAGGAACTGGCATCTAGAGAGGGCCCTCTTGCTGTGTCATCCCACAGAGGAAGTCATCACATGGCAGAAGGGCAAAGAGAGGAGAAGAGGGAAAGCCAAAAGGGCCAAACTTGTCATTTTATAAGGAATCCTCTCCCAAGGTAACAGCATTAATCCATTCATGAAGGCAGAGCCCTCATGGCATAACAATCTCTTAATAGTCTCGCCTGTTAATACTGTTGCAATGGCAATTAAATTTTAACATGAGTCTGAGAGGGGACAAACAGTCAAACGACAGCAATAGCCTCTCATGTGGTTTTACCCTCAAGCCATTTTATTTCACTGTGATGCTGTCAAGATGGAAATAAGTGCTGTCAAGGTGTGATAACTAATCTTGACCAGCATGTACTAGGGGAAAAAAAGATGCCATAATCAGATTAGCCTTCCAATAGCATGCTGACAGGACTTGAGTCTCCTGAAGTATTTCTTGAGAAAGCTGTCATATCATTTTAGATGATGTTACCCTCAGGCAATATAATTGCCCAATAGTATAAAAAGTTCTGGCCGGGTGCGGTGGCTCACGCCTGTTATCCCAGCACTTTGGGAGGCAGAGATGGGTGGATCACCTGACGTCAGAAGTTCAAGACCACCCTGACCAACATGAAGAAACCCCATCTCTACTAAAAATACAAAATTAGCTGGGCATGGTGGCATATGCCTATAATCCCAGCTATTCAGGAGGCTGAGGCAGGTGAATTGCTTGAACCTGGGAGGTGGAGGTTGCGGTGAGCTGAGATCATGCCATCAGCTTGGGCAACAAAAGCAAAACTCCATCTCAAAAAAAAAAAAAAAGTTTCAAGAAGTCCTACAGTCAAGAAATCTCCCTGCATTTAACAAATGTTTGTGGAGCACCAGGCACTATTCTAGATGCTAAGGATATAGGCATTAATATGAAAGCAATCTAATCGCGAAGAGCTTATGTTCTACCTGTTTCAACTGTGATCCATGGTGGTTAAGTTTTAGTTGTGTTTGAGACAATTGTCCACCACTTTGTGCTGTAGTCAATGAGCACAAAGGAGGTAAAGGCGTCTGAAGAACAAGAGACATTAAAGCTGGAGGTAAAATTTGGGAATCATAACATATAGATTTAAAACTGCAAGTCTAAGGTCACCAGTGAGACTGTATTAGAGAAGAAAAGAGGCTTAAGATAGAGCTCTGGGCCCACCAACCTCAGAGGTGGAGGAGAAGAGTAAGCATCAGTGGAGCCTGAGAAGGCTGACCAGTGAGGCAGGAAGACCATCAGGAGAACATGGAGTCCCAAAAAGTGAGAAAAGAAACCAGCTCTCTTTGTTCAACCCAGAATACGCTGTTTCTTCATCTCGGTTTTTCTATGTGTTTTATGCTGCATAAATGTCCTCTAAGAATTACTGTGCTTTTAGCCAGGAGAATAGGGAGGGAGACTTTATTATCACCATATTCATTTGGGATGCCAGAGAAAGAGGTTCATTTTATTTTTACCCTGACTGCTAGTGTCAACTACATGCATTAAGCAATGGCTCTGCCATATGCTGGGGTCTGTGTCATGCTGGGCAGTTCATGCTTCAGACAGAGGTTTGCCATTGTCATTAGAGAGAAGGAGTAAGACTAGGATTGCTAAGAGTTGTAGGTTACGTCTACTCAGAAAACAAATGTGCAGCTGAACTTCTGAATAACAGCAGTGATGGTTTCAGAGTCTGCAGAAAGAGCGCCATCACTCTTCCATTTTGTCACCGTGACTATCTAGTGATGTCCTGAAACATGCCCAGAGAACAATACCAGGGGCGACGGTAACACAAAGATGAAGAAGGCGTGCGTCTAGCCATCGTAGAGCTTATGTAAACCACTTCTAAGGATGAGCAAATATTAAGAGGTGAAAAGGGTTGAGAGGCTTGAGACTAGAACTTAAGTTATCTTTGATTTTCATCAACTTATCTATCAAAGGGAAAGTCTGTGGAGCGTGAGACAGCACAAGACTCCTGAGAGGAGGCTGCTTGTTTCTGAGGCATGCATGCAGGCATGGCTCCTATCCATGGCCATTTTGAGAGGAAAGCAGACCTGGTCTGTCCAGAGCCTCAGAGGCAGGCAAGAGAGACTGTGCACAGGTTAGACCCCCGCCAGTCAGATCAGGGACATGTGATGGTCAGCGTGACCAGGGTGACAAGCCAGTCATGGCTGGCTCCATGACTGAACAACCAGAAAGCAGTTTATAGACAGCCGGCCACAGAAAAAGTACAGCCCAGGCCAGGCTCAGCGGCTCACGCCTGTAATCCCGGCACTTTGGGAGATTGAGGCAGGTGGATGACTTGAGGTCAGGTGTTTAAGACCAGCCTGGCCAATGTAGCAAAACCGTGTCTCTACTAAAAATACAAAAATTAGCTGGTCATGGTGGTGTGCGCCTGTAATTCAGCTACTTGGGAGGCTGAGGTATGAGAATCGTGTGAAGCTAGGAGGTGGAGGTTGCAGTGAGCTGAGATTGCACCACTGCGCTCCAGCCTGGGTGACAGAGTGAGACTCTGTCTCAAAAATAAAAAGAAAAGATAAAGGAAAGTACAGCCTAGAGAACAGATAAATGATGCAGCACAGCAAAAGAGCATGAGGGAAACCGAGTCAGTCCAGGCCAGGCCAAACCATAAAAAGAAGAAAGCAAGCTTAGATGGGAAGTCACCTTCACACTTCCCTCCCCCAAATTTCCTTCTACCCATATCTACTGAGTGTTTGTAAGGGAGAAACAGAGCAGCACACAGGTCCCCTCTCTGCTGGGTAGACCGACAAGTGAACAGAGCATTCCAGAAACCTGGGGTAAGGGAGATAGTGGATACGGCACAGAGGGCCAACGCTTCCTAGACTGATGGTTAGCTGAACCGAGTGATAAAAGAGAAGTCAGAGATATTTACACAAAAATGAGAGAGGCAGCCCAGCCCATGCAAAAGCATGGCCCTGACCGGAAGCTACAGGAAGGATTCCCATGTGCCTGGCGTGGGTGGTACATGCTCCTGGAGCCTGCAGGCTGGGTTCTGGGGAAGCAGCCTCTTGGTGATGGAGCAGCCTGTAGAGCAAGCCCAGCCCTGAGTGAGGAGGACAGGCTCTGCGTGTGATGGCCCCCCCCCGAGTCACTGGCATGGGCAGTCACTTCCCAGGAAGGAGTCCAAGAGAGACAAAAAGTGAATGGCTGAAAAGCCCAAGTAGTATAGGCAGAAGGAAGTGTTGTAGGAAGAGGGAGACAGAGTGGGAATCTGAGGAGGGCAGCACAGCGCACAGTGGGCGGCACAAAAGTCTGCTCACTTAGGTCACATGCGCCAGAGGCACTCGCTGCAGGAGAACCTGAAGATTGAACTGAAATATGCCATGGGCTTTGCTGAGTACAAATGCCAAGAGGAGCAGGGAGAAAGCAAGCCCCTCTAGGTGACAGGCAGGAACAAGCTGAAAGGACATAATCTTGGTTTGCTCGGACAGGCCTGGATTATACTTATGTTAATTATGTTTAGTGCCCTTTTCACTCTCAGAAGTGTCCTAGTTTGGATGATAAATTGTACAGCCACCCCAGGTTTAAGTGATATATCATGCAGTCTGGCTTGGAAAGTAAAGCCAGGAGAGGAAAACAGACACACAGACACACACACACACACACACACACACACACACACACACACACGGACACACGGACCAAGGACCTGAAAGGGAGGATGCAGCCAGAGAGTGGGGAACTAGGTGAGTTTAAGATTTCAGATGTGGTGGTTCAAGGCAGAAATGGGAGGCTGGCACTTCATTTCTTGGTGTCTGTCTTCCTCAAGATGACGACAGGGCTCAAGGACTGAGCAGACAGTGAGCCAAAATGGAAGTTCAGCAAAGCATTTAGATAGATACAGACAGTGGGCAGAACCTTGGCCTGGTGAGGGAAGGGCAGGGGTCCCTCCATTTCCTGAGGGCTCACTGCGGGCTGTGCTGTACTTCCTGTTCCATGGATGCACGGGCTGTGGCCTTGTTCTGTGTGTATCCTCGGTGTTTGGCACACTGTCTGGGCCTGTGTGAGCTCAGTAAAAATCTACTGAATGAGTGAAGAAAATGCTTTGGCTCTGGAAATTCTCAAATATCTGAGAGACAGGTTTTGGATGAGAAAGTAGGCCTGGAGGTATTAATTAACTTGTCAGTTTCCTACACGTAGTAAACAGCGAATGGAGAATTCTAACTTAGATCTGTCTCACTATAAAGGTCATACTGTTGATCACTACAATGTGTTAGTTTTGGTGGTCAAAATGAGACCCACAATCATCTGTTATTTGTCTCTGTGTGTGTGTGTGTGTGTGTGTGTGTGTGTCTGTCTGTCTGTCTGTCTAAGTTTCAAAACTGCTCAAGCACTGACAGCTCTAGCTGAATCCATCAGAGGGTTCTGCTGCATACTCAGTCACCAAAGAGGTGCGATTCTGTGGAAGATCCGCAATCCACAGAGACAGGCAGGAAAGTGGAAAGCATACACAAATTGCTAGAACCTAAAGCAACTGCTCTGAGAGTGTTAGGAGAGGTACAAAGAACCATTGTAAACTCAGGCGAGTAGGGTTGAAACTAGAAGAAAAGGATGTTGGGAAGGACAGTAGGAGAACGTTGTGGGACTCAGAGGGGCGTGAGGGTATGGCAGAGGCCCTGATGAGGGTCCCTGGTCCTCTGTCCGATGCAGATTAATACCCACAAAAAGTGGGACAATCGAGATACTCAAGGTTGCCAGGAATTTCTGTGAAAAGGCAAGGGGATGGGGAGGCACGTGATAAATTTACAAGATTCTTTTTTGTTCTCACAGTTCATAAGGGAGTTACACTTTGAACTCAAGAAAATAAATCACAAGAGAGAAATGAAATGTTCTCTTTCAGACTTGCACACCGACCCCCGTGGAGCGTGCACCTTATAAGGGAGAAGTCACCACACTGAAATCCAGAGTGACAAAGGAAGATGCCACAGCAGGGACCAGGAAACAGGCCCACCCCTGAAGTGTGTGCTGTTGGTAAGGGACTGAGGGCAGGAAAAGTATTCCTGCATGAGAGCTTATGAAATTAACATCTCTCCTCATTAGGGTTGAAGAGACCAAGGTCAGAGGCTTAACAGTCATTGAAGACTCAAGGGCAGTTGAGCCAAGGGAAGACTGATCAAAGCAGAGCACTTAGATAAGCCTCCCAGATTGTAGAAGGCCTTGGGCTTGCTAGAGAGTCATTCTTTGAGATATTAGGAAACATTCAGTTACAACCTTGGAGAATCACTATGAGCAAGATGCAGTCAGGAGGCTGATAATATACAGAGGGAACTGTTTAAGACAGGGAGTACAATTTCATGGTCAGAATTTATAAATGGATTAGGACTTTATCTAGAAAAATAGATCTTCATATTGTAAATACAACTGTGTTCCAGAATTCAAAATGAATGAAAAATGAATAAAATGTTGCTTCAAGGGCTATAATCCTTCAGGAAAATTCTTTGATCTGATTATTTCACAATTAGTTTTTGGAATAATATTACAGATACGGTCATTTCTGCAAAAGTATTGAGCACTTTGTCAGTTTTCTCTGTCTTTTGACATGCAGATCTGTGTTTTTTGAAGTCCTTAGTATCATCATCCTCATCAATTTTCTTTCTTCAGTTGTCTGCCGGTCCTGCTCTGCCAGATCCCCATTTAACAGTGGCTTTGCTTTAACTTTAGCGTCTCCCTAACCCATCACTTCCAGTAACTTCATGAAATCTACATGTTTTGCCAGTTTTACTAGACTCTTATTTTTTTTTTTAGCATGTGATATGTTTTCAGACATTTAATATGTGGCCATCTGCACAAGACTTAACCCCAGAGGTTGACCTAATGGACCTGGTTAGACATTCGTGTTAATGAGAGGCACAGGTTGACAACAGTCTGGCTCTCTACATACTCAGGCACTGCACCTTTTCACATTTTCACAACCTCTGATTTCTGCATAAATCCTGTTCCTGCAGGGATTAGGATAATGAGGGCTTGAATGGCAAAACCTTCTGTGCTACATGCCGTGTTCTTTCATTATTGAATGTCGTGTCTTTAACAATGCTATCCAGCCCGAAGTCTCACCCCTTTGTGATTTTCAGACTACCGGAATTATTCTAATCCAGGATGATTTTGTTAGAAATTCAGGGGAAGATTAGCAAGAGAAAGAAATGTGATTGAATGCTATACCATGCTATTAATGACATTTATAGGAGCAGGATTCGTGTTTACTTTGATTATAGCATTTCTTGGGGGTTAGGTTTGAATTCTGCATCTCTTTGTGAGGGAAGATGTTACAGTGAGTTCCTTTCATTCTCTTCAAAGGTAAAATCAGAGGAAAGGTGGCTGGCATTCCCTTCACAGCCAAACATCAGCCCATGGAGAAGCAAGCCCTATTCAACTCCCTGGGATCCTTTAGGAAAAAATCACCGCTCCAGGCTTCTTTGATTTTCTTTCAGAAGCAATTGCTGTCTTTCTCACTGTGTCTTTGTTGCTGGGTAAGATTGAAGGTACAAATTTATATTATTGTGATGGAAAGGCTGTGTTGAAATTCACTGATGATACTTCAAAATGTCATCTTCTCTTGTACTAGATTTCTTACTTTGAATTTTAAAAAAATCATTTTCTTGTTTAAATAGTTTCTTTTAAAAAATGGTTACATAGTTTTAAAATAGCTCTGTGATTCTACTTTTCATTGCAATTAATAAACATTGAGATCTTTATTTTATATCGTGTTATCTGATTTATTTGTGTCTCCTAATTAGTGGGATTGGGATTCTGGGAGGTTGGTTTTCATTTGAGAGCATGAGTTCCTGGCCACATCTCTTCCGCAACTTTTGGAAATCTGGTCTTGGCAAATCCCACCTAATCAAATTAGATGCTCAAGTTAAAAATAAGTCCAACGCAAATTAACCAATCACAATGATGAATGTGGGATTTGAGATAATTAAATGGAATCAGCATGGCTGAAAGAGGCTGCATTAATGCCTGCCTTCCCCTACACTTCTTAGTCTATGGTGTGATCCTTCTGTGTGTGCAGGGAAGCTAAAATTTCTTCTCCTGGGTAACTAGGTCAAGAGGGACTTTTAAAACGTGGAATGAAATCGAGGCAATTATGCTTTCCTTGCAGGTGCATGTGCCCCCAACACACTCACTTAGGAGTATATTTGTCATTTAACAGAGGATAGTAGCAATTCAGCTTACCCAGGTGTGATTTGTTTTGAGCACACAAAGGAAGGACGGGGAGCTGCACCTGAAGATCCTTCTGGTTCAAACTACAGCTCTTTTTTTTTTTTTTTTTTCAGGTTAAGAGATACCTTAAAACTCTTATTTCTCTCCTCTGCTTTGGCTGACAATGGAAACTCTACAATAAGACTACTGAATCCTCTCAAAAGAAATATTTAAATTGCTTTTGAAGTCAATTTCCACTTATCCCTTGGTATTCAGCTGAAATAGCACCCCACTAAGAGGTTTACCCAGAACAACATGCTCCTCCATAGGAGGCCCAGCATACACCCATCGCCGCACCTTATAATACCTGCTCTATTTGTCTGTCTCCTCCAGGAAACTGAAAGCTTCTTCAGGGCAGGGCCTGCCTGGTTCACTATTATTTCACCAGCATCTAGCAGAATACCATGCAATTGATGGGTATTTAATGGATATTTACTAATATTCAGATAAGGGAGAAAGTGAAGGAGTTTCTGCTCAGTTCTCAAATTCACATAGATGAAGTTAGTGAGAACTCTTGACAAAATAGGGACAAACTTTGTGAAGCATTTTAGTGTAAGGCTACTTTAAATGGAGAGTTCAGGTCATTATCTATTTGATAAATCTGTGTGGGAGAATGAAATAGCTATCGGATTCTTTATGAACAAGAAGGACATTAGAAACGAATGTGGGAATCCCTTTGTTGCTTTTATTAGATTTTCTCGCAACATTTTTATGGAAAGACAGGTCTAAATAGTAATATAAAGCAATGGAAAAACATGATTCAAGCTATTAATATTTAATACCATAGTTTTCAAGACTGCTTTGCTATACAAAGAAAGATCTGTCACTAACAATTGCATTTTCAAGATCCTCACAAAGAACAGGTGGAATGAGTAACATTCCCCTTCTGTATTCATCTTCCTTTGCCTCCCTCCTTCCCTAGGTACTGTGGTGGATTGGGAGGGAATCACATGTTTAGTGTGGGCCCTAAACTTGGCTCTTCTAGGACTTGAGAAATTTTTAAAATTAAAATATGAGATTATTGAAACATACAAAAGGCATCAAAATTAACACAACCACATCTCTGAACCTATCACTCAGTGTGAAAAAACTTTACCAATACAGTTGAAGTCCCCTGTGTTTCTCTCCCTGTGATTTGCCCTGTTCCAAGATAACCAGTGTCCTGATCTGCTGTTTTATTCCCGTGTCCATCATTCGTACCTTTTTCTTTTTTCTGACACGGAGTTGCTGTGTCAACCAGGCTGGAGTGCAGTCACTTGATCTCAGCTCACTGCAACCTCTGCCTCCTGGGTATAAGTGATTCTCATGCCTCAGCCTCCCAAGTAGCTGGGATTACAGGCTCCTGCCACCATGCCCAGCTAATTTTTGTATTTTTAGGAGAGACAGGATTTTACCATGTTGGTCAGGCTGGTCTTGAACTCATTACCGCAAGTGATCCGCCCGCCTCGGCCTCCCGATGTGCTGAGATTACAGGCATGAGCCATCCCACCCAACCTATACCTTTGCTGCATATGTACATATTTCTAAGCATTGTTTTTTATGTCAGGGATCTCCAACCCTTGGACAGCTGGCTGCTGCACAGCAGGGGGTGAGAAGCGGAGGAGTATTGCTGCCTGAGCTCCACCTCCCTCAGATCAGTGGCAGCACTAGATTCTCACAGTGTGAACCCTATTGTGAATGCGCATGCCAAGGATCTACACTGTGTGCTCCTTATGAGCATTTAATGCCTGATGATCTGAAGTGGAATGGTTCTATCCAGATACCATCCCTCCCAACCCCCATTCTGTGGAAAAATTGGCTTCCACAAAACCAGTCTGTGGTGCCAAAAAGGTTGGCAACTGTTGAAATCTTATAAAAGCACAACATAGTATGTGTTGTATTGATTCCTGCTTTTTTTGTAGTCAACATGTTTGGGAGTTGTTTTCATAGGCCTGGCTCTGGTTATTTATTTTATTGCTATGTAGGATCCCATGGTAATAACTACATCACAATCTATTTATGCATTCTCTTGTTTAATAGACATTTAGATTGTCTCCTTTCTTTTGCCATCACAAACAACACTGTCATAGGCATTTCTGTGCAGGTTTCCTTGTGGACAAGCCTGAGAGCTCCTCCAGAGTACATGCCTTCAGCACAGAGAAGTGGGATCCGTGAATCCTAAGGTAGACCCTTTCTTTCCTCATTTAAATGCTGGCAAATTGTCCTCCAAAGTGGTGAGTTATGCCCTCATTAAAAGAATGTATGAGTTTCTGTTGCTCCACATTCTTCTCAATATCAGATATTGTCCAATTTACTACTTTTGCCATTCTGATCCTGTAAAAGGGATCTTATTGAAGCTTGAATTTGCATTTTCCTGATCGCTAATGAGGCTGAGCTCCTTTTCATTGTGCAAATTAATTGACTTTTCTAAGCCTATTTTTTCATTTATAAGAGAAGAATGATAAGGGTATCTGCCCAATACAGAAGGATGCTGTGAGGGTTACAAAGCCCAGTCTGTATGATCAACAAGTGTTAGCTATGATTACTGGGTTAACAGCCATGCGGTGAGTTAATAAATGATGTGCTAAGACTGTCAAAGTTGACTGTTCTTTCTGTGGAGAAGTTCAGCATGCTTTGTAGTTCCAACTCCTTTGGCAGCTGCAGAAGCATGGCCAAGAATGGGAAGGATGAGTGAGCCCAGGCACAGGGTGAGAGTGTCAGGCAGGCCTGGAGAGGGTCAGTGGGCATGGGGCCCAGGTACTGGAACTGTGAGATGTGTGAGTAGGAGCACGGGCTGAAATGGGGGGGTGGGTAAAGCCTCACTCTCAAGTGACCCGTGCAGGTACAGCAGGTCCCAATGTTAGTATCCAGGACAACTACGGCAGACCCTTTTCTCTCCTGTTCTCTCTGTGCATGGTGCAGCATTCTGTAGGGAAATGATCAAGAGCTTGTTAGAGGCTTTAAAGTCACAGAGTTGGATTTGAACCAGTTGAGCAAGATAGATAAACTTCCTGAGCCTCAGTTTCTCTATTGAAAAAGTAGGAGTAATTAATAATTCCTCCTTTTCACAGGATGGTTGAAAGGACCAATTGGCATGGCACATGCAAAGCCCCAACTCACCCTCAGTAGTAGACAGTCAGCCTTGTCTCCTTCTTCTGTCCCACGACAACTGTCAGTCTTTTTGTACCCATCTATCCCACCAAGAGCCCCCTGAAGGCAAATATTTAATTAGGTTTATTTTTGTCAAATACTCTTTCTCCCTTTACTTCTTTTTGGAGGGTATCTGTAGACAAGTTTTAAAAAAAGAAACACAAAGCAGTGTGTCCATCATTTATTAAACACCAGCTGTTTATAAAACACAGAAGCAAACTCCTTAGTTCGGCTGCCACTGTTCCTCAAATACCTTGCACAGGGAATGGCACAGAACAGTGCTTAGTAAATCCTTGATGAGGGAGTGAATTAATCTCGGGAATAGAAGATGACAGAGGAGGAGGAGAGGAATAATTCATGAATGAAAAGTAACACTACAACAAATCATTATTTGTGTCCAGGGGTCAGGACTGCATTTGTCTTAAGAGCCATCCCAGTGTCAACGGTGATTGTAAAAATGTAAATGGCACTGGGAGTGGCCTTCCGAGACTCTATGGGCCTAGGCGAGCTTGCATAACCAGCTGCAGGAGTGAGAAAGCATTCAGGGCTTTTTCAAGCAGTGCTTTTTTTTGTTTTTATTTTTCTGCCTTATGATAGGATGCAATCTTCACAAGAACATAGGACCTTGGCTTTTTCTTTAATAAAACCTATCAATGTGCTCAATAGAGTCTTAATGATAATATTTATTAGGCCTTTATTAGGTGCACAGACTTGTGCTAAGGTCTGTATAGATGCCATTATTTAATTCTCTCTGCAGTCCTATGAGGGTAATATTATTAATTATTATTATCAAACAGATGAGAAAATGAAAGCTGAGAGAGGTTAAATAATTGCCCAGAGGCACTCAGCAGGTCAGTGGGTGGCCCAGGAGATGAATTCTGGTCCCTTTGACTCCACATCACCCCTCTAATGTATCTCTTAGTCAAGACTTTGGAAAGAACCCACTCCTGAATGATGTACAGTTGCCTGAACATCATTAGAGCTCAGAAGAAAATATCAGGAGTTCACAATCATTAAGGGCTCACCTAATGAGCCCCAACCACTCTACAAACATTAGTTCATGTGATCCTTCCAACAACAATATGAGGCAAGCAGTGAGATTATCCTCACTTTATACATGGTGAAACTGAGGCACAGGGAGGTCCATTAACTATTAACTTTTCAGGTAACACAGGATGACACGGAAAGGAATTTCCAAGGTATATTAAGCCCTTTCAGTAAAAAGATTTTCCAAGCCTCTCCCAACAATACCAGTGATAGTGTATCATCTCATCTCTACAGTCTTGCTAAATACTTTCTCCAGTTACTAATGCAGAAAAAGCCAAAGCGTAAGAAATGATTTTCTGAAATCAGTGGCAGTTATCATGGAA